AATTGACTAGATAATAAAAAAATTGCAATTCACCTGTAATCGGAACAAGACCACTAAATAAAGTTTTTGATTGCTGAGATCTGGTAAATTCAATTGGATGAACGTGTGATGATGGAACTGTTTTATCATTTGGTGCCGAATGATTTGTATAAAAAATGTCAAATGGTTTTAAAATGTAACCTGTTATGTTAAAATGTTATGTGATCCGGTTTACGCCAAGTGATCCTTGTGATATGTATAATCATGTTTGCCCGAATTCTTGCCAGTTGAGGTTTATTGTACTATTCGTGGCTATGTGTTTATTTCTGTAAATCCACAGTTTATGTAGATTCTGTAATAATCAGATATTTTATATGTACGTATTAACATATGCAGATTGTAATCGCCATATTTTTTCCGTGTGCATTATTTGGGTTAGTAAATCGCATATTTTTAATATGAGGCAATATGAGAATTTTGTGAATAAGTGTTCTTTCTCAACTATTGAAAACGTTGGCCAAGATGGGGTCGAGCCATTTCTTTCGTATTGGAATTCAGTACCTATAACACCTTCTCTATGAAGGATTTGGTTGGGATGGCTTTACAGATGTAAACATTTGTACCGTTTCACTGACAGCAATGGGGCGAAGCAAGGCATTTATTTCGCGTTCGAGGTGTAAGCGCCACACTTTTAGGCAGCATCCTCGTGACATTTACAATATACTGAACGTAAATGTGGCTGTTACACTCGAGACAGCACGGATTCTTGTGTGAGTGTACCTAGTATTTCTCCATTCAATGAGCTGACGTGCAGGAATTTGATGTTACAGGTTTTTTTTTTTTTTGCGAATCGTTAAAATGTTTGTTTATTTTTGCCTATGGGAATCAACCAGTGGTCTTATGACCAATGTATGATTAAAATAAAGATGAGGTTAAAATGCGTCAACGAAGTAGTAGTATTCAATGGTGAAAATTAAAAATAAGGGATTATGCTATCATTTATGAAAATATAAGTTCGATCGACACAATATGATGCTTTTATGACACAAATTGACAGTTGTAATATTCAAGCATTGTTAGTGCCTTTCATCGCAGGATTGTCGACGCCTCCGTTGTCGCGTACTGTGACGAGAGCTGTAGTGGGCATATTGATAGTAAGTGTTACGGCAGGCAGAACGGCTGCCTGGTCGGATGGATGACAATTCGCGTTGTTTGTCGAAACATGATTGGCACCATGTTCGGGAAGAGGGCTGTTACCGGGTACCACATATACGGTTCTTCCTCGTTGTACTTTGATGTTTCTTGCTGTGGCCTGTTTCTTTTTACTGACGAACAATCGGCGATTTTTCGTCACTTTTTCAGACGTTTGAAGCGGTTTGTCGTACAGCAGTCAACGAAGGCGGCGAGGAGGAAGAACATTATGGCAAGGCCAAAGGCGATGTATGTGATGGTGTCAATACCAGGAGAAGATTCTAACACCGACAACCGGACCAAGATTTCCAGCAAGACAGCGATGGCTAAAACTAGAAAAGCCAGTACAGCCAATGTAACTGACGCAGTTGCACACTTCTTGTACTTCTTTAGTGCCACCTGTTGTCTTGTGATTTGCTGGGCATGCGCATCATGGGCGTGTTGTCGAGTATTTGAATTTGTGCTCGATCCGATATATAGATTAAACGCCGCAGACGGATCCATGACGACGCCACTATCGGTCAACTTAGTCTTCTCTGACATTCTGAAGTGTTCTATCTGAAAACAAATATAGAAATAACAATAATGAACATGTCAAATATTTCCATCCAGAGCCTAACTCTGGTAACTTAACACATCAAAATATATGATATATCATCGTATACATGTAGCTGTTTACATGTATTTAAATAGAATCTAATTCGAGAAAAAGAAACATATGTCAATGTGAGGCGCCATATTTGATTTCTGGCCATAAACGCACTATGTGGATGGGGATCAGGAACAATGACACGTGAGTCCATCGATGGTAGTTGTGGCAATAGTAAGTCAAGGAAAAAAACAAGTACCACATATACATTTACTCTACCACTATCGCCAATTCCCTCTACAAACCATGGCCACCATTTAGACTAATGCTGTTCGTACAATGTGAGCTTTAAAGGGTGGCGGTCGTTGCGCAGCGCGTGTTCGAATTTCATGTAAATAAACAATGTATTTTACACGCGTTGTATACGTCTCATATCGAACAGGACGCGGCGTAACGACCACCGCCCTTTAACTTGACTACATTGGTATACGGTTTACAGGCGAGTTTACTTCCCTGTTGCCGAAAACTATATAAAATGTACAGTGATGTGTTGCGTTCTCCATCATAATTTCACATTCAATACAACAAATAATTCCAACATGAGCTCTGTTAAGGTGTGACGATGGCTTTCCGAAACGACATGCATTTATGATTAATAATATGATTGTGATATTAGTCGTTGCAGTGTGGTCGTGCTATTGTATTCTAAATTATACATTCTCATTTTGTAGACGAGTAAATCTTCTTCTCTTAACTGTAACTGAAGCGACCGCTCAAAATGCCACAGTATTTTTACAATCACAGACACAGACATTGCGAATGGAACCTTTGACACAAGCAACAACACGGCGGAGGCCATATCAACGTTATCTTGTCCATAATGTTCACCGTCACGTTAATCGCGGAACCAGTACTCACCGGACTAAGGCTTGACTGAAACGACACATTCACTGTCGGAGTCACAGTTTTCCTATATAAAATATTCCTTGATATGAAGTATGAAACCTTTCAAAAATAATTTAAAATATACTTCAGAAAGTTCCACGTGACTTGTTAAGGATTAACCCGAACTACGCAGTGCAAATCATACTGTACTGCTGTAACGAAATAGTTTGGTTGCTCCGTAGAAGCACGTAGAAAAGAGGGATGTTTTATTTGATGGTCACGACATTTATTCATCTCAGGATATAATTATTTACATATTGGTAATAAGTTATATATTATCTACGTATATATTATTTGTAACCTCAGCGACCACCCCACCCCAAGATATACTGGGACCATATAAACTTCCTAATGCTGCGACCAGCTTTTCTGCATTTACACTGTTATAGACTAATGTCTACAATTGCTACAATTGACGTGCAATTTCATGGCGTGTTATTTTTTTTTTAATCAGCTTCAAATTCATTGATCCGACTAGTCACGAAAAACAATGTGTTTCCTACTTTTCACGCTCATCATTGACGAAGTGTGAACACATTACACCATTACACCGTTCTTATAAGTCACGCCTTCTAGTGGCAAATCGCTTCTGTGCCGTTCACATCGTCGATGATGATTTGATCAGCAGTCATTCGCCAATAAATGGTGTAAGCATCTAGCACGTAGTTCTACAGAATCGCCC